CACTGCAGGAGATCTTTAATCCTGTAAAACCATACAGAAGTCATCACTCTGATAAATAAAAAAAACATTTTTCCCCTTATTCTGAATTCTAAAGCAGACACTGGGGGTAATGTTATCTTCCAAGACACATTACAAAGCATTTGCCTCATACTAACCAGCTAAAGTTCTTTCTTTTTATTCTGTTCTATAATTAGTAAACCTTCTAAGCATATACACGCAATTCTCATGTGGATTCACATTACCTCCCAAAACTGACAAAAACCACCACAGACCTTGAAATGCTAGTCTATCAGCTCCCCTCCATGACATCATTTTGGCTGCTAGTTCTGCCTCTCCAACTCACAGGACCAGTAATTATAAAAGTAAAAGACTCCTAGTACCATGACATTCTTGTAAAATAGCTGAAGAAGAGACTAGGGAGGGATGTTTAATGCCATGGGTGGGCACTAAGAAAGGAAGATTGCTTCAATTATAGGTAGATAACAATTTTCCAGTTTTCTGATGCCATATTGCAGTTCACATACGATTTCGAATTTCTGACGTTGGTTGGGTAATCAGTCTTAGAAAAAGAGGATAGATGACCTTTTTGTTTTTTTTTTTTTTTTTTTTTTTTTTTTTTTTTTTTTTTAGTAGTGGTCTTCCCAGGTTACCGCTGGCTGGGAAGCAGAGATGCACCTAGTCAAGTGTACCCTTATGGCTTCTGAAGGATCTGGAGGCTCCACTAGCCCTATACACTCTGTGTATGATCTTTGCAAGCCAAGATGAAATGGTTCAAGGTGAAGCTTCTTTTCCCTTCCTAGTACTCTCTGGGATTGGGAGTGGCCTCTTGGAGGACCTTAGTGATCTTGGTGTCACCAGGTATGCTGACAGAGACCTAGACACATCTAGACTGCAAAGCTGAGGGCTCTCAGGCCCCTTCAAAAAAGCTGGTAGCACCTACTCTTGATTTGGGTGAAAGGAAGATGTAACCTTCAAAAGGAATTATTGCACTGGGTGTAGCACCCCTGCCTGGTACAAAAAAAAACAATTGTAAATGGCTCCTCACATCTTAAGGCCTGAATCCTTGACACCTTTCTTGGCTATGTAACAGCTACAAGAAAACAATCTTTTGATTTGTTTAAATTGAGATTTGGGCTTGGAAAAATGGGTAGAAATTAGTATTTTAGCTATACAACAGTAGGTTTCATATGTTTATATCCATGTACAGTATGATTGATATACAAATTGTTTTTAAAACTTATATGCTCATTTGGTAAGCAATCTAGTGTTTTGCTAAGTAAGATAAAATACCTTTTTTTATATTTTATAACTTTATATTGTAGTTTCAAAACTGATATTTAAACTGTTACCAATCGAATTATACTTTTGGTTTAGATTCTGGAAAAAATACAAAATTGGCAGAAATTATCTTAACAAAATCATCTTACAGAAGACTTTAAATGGTTGAGAATTTTAGTATTTAGCTAAAAAAAAAAAAAGGCCAACCTTACATCAGCTTACTTTGCAAACACACCCTGTTCATCTGAAGACAATCTACAAAAAAAGGTTGTTATAGGTATAGTTTATGCACCTTGGACCCTAATGCAAGGTACTGTATATGCAGAACCAGTTAGAACGAGGACATCTTCAGAGGCATGATGTAATCCTTCTTGAACATACTGCACAAATATCAATCTTCTACCAACCCTCATAATATTCCTAGTACACTTTGTGGAGCAAAAGTTGTTACCTACAGATGAGCTTTGTTTACTGGTTTTCTGACCTAGTTTTTGGGAGCAATATGAGGATATTGGTAACTTGGATTTTCTGCATCCAGTTTCTGGATCATTCACATGCAGGACAAAAAATGGGCTGTACAAAGATCATACCCATGGAAAGAGTTGGCCAAAAAAAAGCTTTTTCATGCATGTTAAATATTCAAAGATATGGTTGCTAACAGTGGCCCACACACTTGACAGTTGTCTGAAGACTAGGAAAAACAATGTTATTTGGCAGATAATTATCCAGTGTATGGACAGCTTAAAGTATCCATTCTCATCCATAGTTCCAGGGACCCCTAGGGTTTCCCCAAAGGTTACTAGGGGGTTCCTTGTGCTATGCTGATTGACCACCTATCAGTGGTATGTTTTTTTAGCTATCTGTAGAAATGACATTCTGACAACCATTGCAAGGGGAGCTTTTTTTCCCACTGACCACCAATTATGACATTTTTCCCACTGAAATCTTATGAATTGGTTTTAGACGGTATGCCTAAGGACCTAAAAGTTATTTTAAGGGGTCCTATGGGGTACAAAGGTTGGCAAAGGCTGGCTTGAAGCTATATTGCCAAGAAACTAGCATAATTAAATACAGTAGACCTGATTTCAGTTTCTTGTAACTCCTTGTACAGCAGTACTCATAATGGGAGGAGGGATATTGCTTGGGTATAATCAGATATCCTGCATATTATAACAAGGGAAATGCTGAAAAAATTAGCATGAGAGATTACTGCATCAATCTTTTGCTGGAAGCAAGAAAGTGACTATTAACAGGCAGGGAACAGAAGGTGATTCATCTGTGTTTCCTAACTGCAGCAGAGTAGTCAGGTCATCGGGCTAGCTCTGTTGTGTGATGGGTCTGTGTAAATATCACGATTGGTTGGACAGAAACACAAATCCTTTGACAGGTAGGATTATTCCCATATATGTTTTTCAATTGTATATTTAGCTACTGTATTTACCTGGAGTTCAACTTTAAGGAATCCAGCAGTTTGAAATGAAACATTGACACATATAAGGTCCAGTCTCCAATATAACCATGTTGATCTACATCAACTTTGCTCCCAAGTGTGACCATTTTCTTACCTCTTTAACCACCTGAAGACCCAGACTATTCTGACACTTTTTGTTTACATGTAAAAATCAGGGTTTTTTTTGCTAGAAAATTACTTAGAACCTCCAAACATTATATATTTTTAAGCACAGGCCGTAGAAAATAAAATGGTGGGTATTGCAGTTTTTTTTAATGTCACATGGTATTTGCGCATTGGTTTTTCAAACACAATTTTTTTGGGAAAAATACAGTTTAATGAATTTTAATGTACAGAAACACAATATAATACCCAATTGTTTGGTAAAGTATAGAAAATGATGTTACACTGAGTATGTAGATACCAAACATGTCACACTTTAAAATTGTACACGCCCGTAGAATGTCAACACTCTATGTATATTTTATTATCCATAGCCAACACTTTAAAAAGCTTTACAGGTTACCACTTTACATTTAAACAGGAGGTCTGGGGCCAGAATTATTGCTCTTGATCTGATATTCACGGCAATACCTCACATGTGTGGTGTGATCGCCGTTTACATACTAATGCATGTGTTTGCCTTTGCACATGAGCACAGTGGAACGTTAGCACTTAAAAACTTTTTTTTAAATTATTATTTATTTTATTTGAATTTTTTTATTTTTACACTGTCTCTTTTTTTTTGTAAAGCAGGGGAGCTCAACCTGTGAAAGTACACTTCTATTATATCCTGTGGGTTTGGGATGCTTTCTGAATGCACACCAAAACTTCTGAAAGTGCACCACACCTGCAAGATATAATAGAAGTCCATGGTAAAGCGCCGCTAACCCACTGGAAAGCCATAGATGCACTGTGCTGCACCCGCGTTGTGGATAAACCGCAGTGTGTCAGTGTGAAAGCAGCCTTATAGGGGCTCAGGACAGTAGGTGCTTATTTATAATTGTTTGGGGGGGGGCCCATAATTGAGACATGTTTTTGCCACAACCCCCCAAGCACTGGTTTTAAGTCAGGGGTTGCAATGATGACCCTGCTCCATGCTCCAGGGGGCTAGTGCAGTCTCCCTGTCACATTTTACACTTGGACAGGCGGGGTGGCAGGGGCAGCACATACAGGAACTGATCCTCTCCATTTTGCTCCTGCAACCACTGAAAGCCAGTTTCTCCTCTTTTCACTCCTGCTGGCATTCAGCAGCTGCAGGAGGAAAATGTTCATTATGTTATTCAAACTAAAAAATTACAGCATGCACTTTCATGTTATAACATCAGCATTATAATAACAATACAAAAATAGTTATTTTTGAAAATCAAATATAAACTTATTTGAAAAATCTCCTTCTGTGTTGTAAGTTCTGCCTGTGTGCTGGCCATCTCCTTCCACAACTTCTCCTCTGCTGTTTACTTTTGATCTCTTAGGACTTTATATCCCATGGAACCTTGCTGCTTGCAAGTAGATATGATTAGGTATGTTTCATACACTGACTGTGCCTCCTGTAGTTCAGAAGGCAGGCTCTGTGAAATGTGTGACATAGCAGCGCCTACTCACAGGACACGAATATGTGTCGCAGAATTCAAGGAACTAAATGTGTGGGGATCTTCACAAAGTAAGTTTTCAAAATTCAAGATCATGCAGATTAACAAGAGTAGGCTAGAAATAATTGAAATTCATGGAAATGAATATATGATTTTACAATTTGACTTTAGATACACTTTAAAGCGGTAGTAAATGAACGTAAAAAAAAAAGTTTTCCCCTGCAAGGTAATGTCATAATGTGCTAGTATGCATCGCAAAAAATGAAGCTCTCCAGCGGTGCGCCGTCAACGCTGCAGAGGCTTGCATCTTCACCCGGTCTTCCTTCCAGGTTCACGAGCTCCGACCGTCTGACTTGCCGAACTGCGATGAGGTCCTGGGCCATGGCTATGACGCTCCTTTAGAGCGTATGGGCTGGCTCCCAAAGGAGCGAATATTTCCTAAACAATGCATGTTTAGGAGATATTCACTTTGCCTACAGGTAAGCTTTCTTATAAACTTACCTGTAGGTAAGAATACAAATTTGGAGTTTACTACCACCTTAGGAGACATATAATTGCACCAATATCAAGCCATTAAATAGGTATGCATTTAGGTGCTTATGCGTATTGATAAATGTTCTCCACTACATCATTAATGGAATGGAAGCATGCTAAAACTTATCAGGTCTTTTTTGTTTAAGTCTTTTGCAGTATCCATCCTTTGGCAGAAATAGAAGATGCACTCCTGCGGAACCTTTTTACAGGTTATCAGAAATGGGTTAGACCTGTTGTAAACCCCAATAAAACAATAAAAGTGAATTTTGGCTTGAAGATATCACAGCTCGTTGATGTGGTAAGAAGGCTTTTAACAACCACATTACAACTCATGCATGACACCTGAAGCCAGGGGAGAGCAATTCATATTAGTAGAGCACATGGCTGTGTTTTTTTGTTGTTGTTGTTGTTGTTGTTGTTGTTGTTGTTGTTGTTCTTTTTTTAAGCAGGGGTATGGCAACTAACTGAATTTGTCCTTTGGTTTTCTGACTTCAGTGAACTGAAATCTGGTTGGTTTCTGGTAATTTACATAGTATTGTACCTTTACTTTGGTTTTATGAATAAGTTTGCTTGATGTTGGAATCTTATTATTCCATACCTTTAAAGAGTTGCCAGACAATACATTTCAAGAAAAAACTTCATGTAAGATTATATATGCATTTATGTATTACGCATGTTATTTACCTGTAAAAGCCTCCCATGTGTAGAAATCCAAAAGCCCTAAGACAGCTTTTGGGCACTGCCATCTTGAATGTGATGTTAGCAGCCCCAGCAGACTCACTCAAGTGACACTCTCTGGGGTTTATTTACTAAAGTTGGAGAGTGCAAAATCAGGCTCACATCTGCATAGAAACCAATCAGCTTCCAGGTTTTATTGCTAAAACCTAATTGAACAAGATGAGGTTAGAAGCTGATTGGTTTCTATGCAGAAGTGAACCTGGTTTTGCACTCTCCAGCTTTAGTAAATAAATCCCTCTATAGCAGGTAATATAATTTATGCTTCGTGATATTTAACCACTTCCAGTCCAGACACTTTTACCCCCTTCCTGACCAGGGCAATTTTCAGCTTTCAGCGCTATCACACTTTGAATGACAATTGCGCGATCATGCAACACTGTGCCCATATGAATTTTTTACCATTTTTTTGAGACAGATAAAACTTTATTTTGGTGGTGTTTATTCACTGCTGAGATTTTTATTTTTTTTGCTATGTAAATGAAAATGTCCACAAATTTTGAAAAAAAGTGTGTTTCTTATAAAATTTTGCAAATAAATAATATTTCATCATAAATCTTGGCCAAAATGTATTCCGTTATCTTTTTAGTAAAAAAAAAAATAAGCCAAATTAGTTTATAACCAAAAATTATATTTTTTAAACATTTTTTTTTTACATTTTAATTTTTTTTTATATTATTTATTTTATTATTTTTTTTTTTTTTACATACTGTCACCCTAGCAGTACTTTTTTTGGGGGGTGATGAAGATTTTTTTTTTTTTTTTGTTACACTGATTGCTTTTACACCCATATAGGATGTAAAAGCAATCATTTCTCTTTCTCTCTGTCTGCATTCTTGCAGCCATTGAGAACTACTGAGTGAGCTGTGATTGGTCACAGCTTGTCACATGGTACAAGGCTGTTGTGAATAGCCTTGTACCATGTGACCTCTGTGATCATTCACAGATTTCACACGTAGTAAGCAATGATGTCAGAAGTGACATCTTGCTTACTACTTTGCATGTGATCACTGATTGGCCAATCAGTGATCACATGATCGGGGCCTCGTACAGAGGTCCTGTCTAACGATCAGTGTTTCAGTGTGTCCGGAGAGGGCACCGGATCGTGCTGCTGCGCGCTCCAAGGGCGCGTGCACAAGCAGGTTGCGGGGAGGCCGTTTATAAATGGCCACCCGACCCTGCAGTGCCACCGTCCAGCCGTTTATATACAACGGATGGTCGGGAAGTGGTTAAAGCACATACTGTATATACTACTGTTCTGCTACAGTTGGCAGATCTGGACTGGTATTATAAGATTTACATAGGAATTATTTAAAATCTTAGCTGTTTTTTTGGGAAAATAGCACTTGATTAATGATACATATTTACCAACAAAATTAATGGATACACACACACATATATATATATATATATATATATATACACACACAGGTGAAACACGAAGAATTAGAAAAGCACCAACACCTGGTTCAATGACCGTGGGATTACTGTGCTTGATTGGCCAGCAAACTCGCCTGACTTTAACCCCATAGAGAATCTATGGGGCATTGCCAAGAGAAAGATGAGAGGCATGAGACCAAACAATGCAGAAGAGCTGAAGGCCGCTATTGAAGCATCCTGGTCTTCCATAACACCTCAGCAGTGCCACAGGCTGATGGCTTCCATGCCACACCTCATTGAGGCAGTAATTGCTGCAAAAAGTGCCCAAACCAAGTACTGAGTACATATGCATGTTTATACTTTTCAGAGGTCCGATATTGTTCTATGTACAATCCTTGTTTTATTGATTGCATGTAATATTCTAATTTTCTGAGATTGTGGATTTGGGGTTTTCAAGTCAAGGCCTGGACTGAGCGAAGCTATAAGGGAGGGCCAGCATGACTGGGGCGTGCAGACGAGGCGGAGAGTGTAATTTGGGTGGGAGTCTAAGCAAGAGAAAAGGGGGGTGGGGGTGGTTACTTACTTGATTGGAGTACGCATCAGTGTGGGGTGGTCTTGCAGGATTTGAAAAGGGGGGTTGGGTCTTGTCGGAGTCAGTCGGAGCTTGTGGATTTGGGGTTTTCATGAGCTGTAAGCCATAATCATCACAATTATGACAAATCACGGCTTGAACTATCTTGCTTTGCATGTAATGAGTCTATCTCATATATTAGTTTCACCTTTTAAGTTGCATTACTGAAATAAATGAACTTTTGCACGATATTCTAATTTTTTGAGTTTCACCTGTATATATACATATACACACATACACACACGTGCATATGCCAGGCGTGCGCTGGCAAGTTCACAAGATGCAAACTTGAAATCAACTTTTTATTAGTGGTTGGATTGTGATCAGCAAAGATCACATTAAAGCAGGGTTGTCAAACTCAGTTTCATTGTGGGCCGCATCAGCATTATGGTTGCCCTTAAAGGGCCAGTTTTATCTCTAAGTCTAGATGTCCAGAGCATCCCACTCCCCTTACATCAGATGTCAAGAGCCTTCAATGATCAGCAGTCAAAAGAGAGCTCCCCATCTTCAGTTACATCACAGTGCATCCCCTTACCTTGTGCTGGGGCGGAGCTGGGAAGTAGAAAGTGCAAGGTCTGGAGGAGGACCGGAAGAGGGCTGGAGTCAGCTTATGGAGTCTGCTGAATTCTGAGACCAGAAAGGCGGAGACAAGGGGGTGTTGCAGTTGCACAGGGAGGTGCAGGGTCTGTAAGAAGAGCTCTGTCCTCCTCCTTGCTGCTGACTGGTAGGGGGGTGGGGAGAAGATAGGGGGGTGCCGCAGCTGAGGAGAGGTGTGAGGGCCTTGTGATATGGTCTGGAGGGTTGGATTCGTCCCGCAGGTCTTGTGCTTGACAAATGTGCTCTATAGTATTCCATTTTGCTGCGGAAGATTTAGGCCAGTATGGACATTAATTAGACATTCCAGCAAGTTCCAAGGAACATTGCAAGTAAATAAAAAAAAATGTATTAACGGGAAAAATACTGCAAGTAAGCATTAAAGTATTTGATTATTTTTGTGCTTATATCTGCAATTTTTTAAGTTGGTGACACACTGCACAGTCTCGCAAGCAACTGAGTATAATAGGAGTAACATCTTTCTGGCCCAGCTAGTAAGGGCGAGATTTCATAGAGAATGACAGGCAGATGTTTAGTGATCCTGACGCTGGTGATTTGTTGCCTGTGCCAAGATCACCCATGTGACATGGTGCCATTTCACCTGTAAAATTTGCAGTTATTCTTGTGTCATATTACAGTCAAATATACATTATTGGAACAGATTTTTGAGTGCAGCTGGTAGGCTCAAAGGCAATGACTGTTTACCAATTCATCCACTGCATATTTGAGTTCATTGACCCGAACACTAGTGATAGAGGAGAGCGCGTTGCCAAATTTAATTTCAGGCATATCGTAAATGGTCAGCATTTAGTCATCTTGTACTTTCCAGTCCATTCCAACTGAACACATGTAATCGCTGCAGGAAAAGAAAGCATACCAGATGTGCAAAACTACGAAGCAGTATATAAGCGAGTAAAAAGGAAAACCAAATTGTTTTTCTACGCAGCCAGATTCCAGCTGTCATATGTAGTGCAATAATAGGGAAAGCAAGGGCTGTTTGGGAGATGCAAGCAATACAGAAATGTCATCGAAGCCTGCATGTTTTGAAGCAACTCGATAAAGAACATATCAAGAAATGGAATTATTTAAAAAAAAACAATACATTCAATTCACTTTATTTCATAAAGAAAGAATTGACATGGACCAGAAGACATTCCTAAGCGTACAGAGAGCATATTGCTTGCAGTACTAGACTATAGAGCACAGTAATCCTTGTGTGTGATTCACTTGACACTCTGAGCGATCCAAAATTGTCCTGTCTGAAAATCCTGTTACCTGTGTCAGCAGCTCTGCAATAAGCCACCTCATTCTCAGGCTCATCACGTATCTAGCCACTACACCAGGGCATTTTAACCCTTTTATTCTAGATAATGAATTGTGTCCTGTGCTGACCCAAAACAAAGGCCCAACCTCTTTATAGAAACAATAAAGTAGCGGCGCATAATAAAAGATGAATATTTTAATCAGCTACAATGTGCAATTAGAAGGATTGCTGTCCCTTTGGATAGATGCCTGTAAAGAAACAAAATCTCTACATAAAGGGTATTTCATACAAATACCATATTTCATACTGCGACAGAGGACAATTTGTGTATCAACTTTTAGATGCCCTCTTCTCCCTGAAGCTAAGGTCTGTGGGCATTCCCTTGTCGCCATCAAGTACAATGCAGGCCAATAACACTGCATTTTATGTGGTGGGGACAAACATGCGACCACAGCCTGGAGCAGCTTAGAGAGGTCCTGAAGAGGACCAGTTGCATTGCTGAAGGAACACTGCTGGAGCACGGAATAAGGTATTACATCTTATTTCTGTACCCCTAAATATAGCAACCATTGCAATGGTAGGAGTTGGGCTTTTAGGCAATACTATTCCTTGCATTAAATAGCCCATTTATTTAGAAAAATTGTAGCCTTTTTGTAATGCACCACAAAGTAAAGTAGGTACACTGTGGTGTGCTGTAGTGCATGTGGGTTGGGATGCAATTTAAAATAAATGACAAGGAAATGTGTTTTATCACACAATTTGTAATGAACAAATCTGAATGTGCAAAGAGCAAAAAGAGAATGAACAAGTAAATGAAATATAATCTATTGTATCATTGTAAAATCTTAAAGAAAAACTTTAATGTAACTACTGTACTATAGCCTTTGCCTGTAACAACCCATTCATCCAATGGTGGCTATGGAAAAAGGCTCTGTATTTCCCATTGGGTCTGACCAGACTGCATGAGCAGCAATAGGCAGAAGTTCATCCGGGCTAAGGGTAAATAGCTTTATTATCCAGGCACATACAGCAGGTGCCTTCCCAGGAAACAAACCAACACATCGTGTAGACAGGAAGGGAGGGAGGAGATTAATGACAGTGTCCCAAACCACCCACCTCATCATGTACGAGGTGGTATTAAAAAGTTTCAAGACTGCATGCACCGTCACAGGGAGAACCAGTGGCCTAGCCAGTCTCCAGACCTTAATCCGATTGATAATCTGTGGAGGGAGCTGAAAGTTTGAGTTGCCAAATGTCAGCCACCAAACCTTAATGACTTGGAGAGGATCTGCCAAGAGGAGTGGGCCAAAATCCCTCCTTAGATGTGTGCAAACCTGGTGGCCAACTACAAGAAATGTCTGACCTCTGTAACTGCCAACAAGGGATTTGCCACCAAGTACTAAGCCATGTTTTGTGAAGAGGATCAAATACTTATTTCCCTCATGAACATGCAAATCAGTGCATAATTTGTTGGACATGAGACATTTCTTTTGAATTTTTTGTTGCTATTCTGTCTCTCAGTGTTACAATACACCTACCATTCGATTTTTAGACTGATCATTTCTTTGTGAGTGGGCAAACATTCAAAATAAGCAGGGGATCAAATACTTATTTCCTTCACTGTAAGTCAGTGTACCAAAAGACATCATCCTGTGTACTTCGAGAGCTGTACAAATGGTGCTATTCTGGCCACGTGCACTACCACGTCTACTATTTCATCATGGACAGAAAGTTAGAACAAGGAGCATATGTGAAATTCTGCATGAAACCCGTATACCCAAATTGCGTTACTGGTAATGATCCTTGATATGAATTGAAGGGTCATCCAAAGTTGCTGAATGGTTTTGACATTTTTTGGGGTTGAGCTTGTTAAAGGTCTTCCTGATCTCCCATCGTCTTCCAGTGATGTTCGTAAGCTCTGGAAGCACACGTGCCACTCTAAGCACTTGGAACGGGTCATTGCAGCATCACCGTAAACTTGCCAAATCATGTCAAACATCTCTGTAGCAGATTCTCCCAGTTTCACGCAGAATTTCACGTTTGCCCTTTTGTTCTAACTTTCTGTCTATGATGAAATAGTACACATGGTAATGCACATGGTCAGAATAGCACCAGTTGCACAGCTCCCAATATACACAGGACATTATCTTTTGGCACACTGACTTATGAAGGTTGGTGCTCCCTGTGACTTTGCATGTAGCCTTGTGCTGTCATCTGTTGGCGTGTTACAGAACTACTCTCCAAACCTTTTGATACCACTTCATATGTTTTTTTCTAGATGTATACTTTAAGGGTCTATCATCACAGCCATATTAGCTGCAACCTACTGTGTGATGCATATACCCATTTTAGGCTTATAAATGTTTGAGGAGCTGCCAATTGCAGTGTCACAAAATTAGTTTACATAACAGGAAACCTGCTGCAGACAGCATAATCTCATCCCCATAATAAAAGATGTATGTCAGATATCTTTGAGCTTGATAAACTGCCAAAAATATATATACAGTACTGTTTAACTTTGCATTTACTTTTTTCTAGCAATAGAACAGATGCTTGTGTTAGAGTATTTCTGGTCATGCATGAGACTGGTAAAGAGCTGGCAAGAAAATGAATGAGGCAGATGATATTAAATAGGTCAAAAAAACAGCTGAGTGTTCAAAACTACAGACCTATTTTACTAAAGCAGCGTGGAAGGTGGAGGGGAAGAAACATCACTTAATTCTTTGGATGTTTGGATTATTAACATGCTGCCTGAAGTAAAAAAAAAATATAGTGTATATATGAGTAAAAAAAAATAAAAACAATATATATATATATATATATATATGTATATATATATTTTTTTACATGTTTGTTAATAGATATCTATAGAAACATTAAATATGTAATTCTTTTTCTAGACAAGCTCTTGGGGCAGTGGTCTCAAACTGCAGGCTGCGACCCTTTGCTTGCCTATATCCGTCCCTTGAGGCACTTTTCCTCCCACTGATACAAGACATTTTTCCTCCCACTGACACCAACAATGGGGCATAATTCCTGCTACTGACATCAGCAATGGGGCCCATTGACACCAACAATGGGGTCCTATTTCTCCAACTGCCACCAACAACAGGGCACTATTCCTCCCACTGACACCAATGATAAGGCACTCAAACTGAAACCAACTATAGGGCACTATTGCTCCCACTGACACCAGCAATGGGGCACTATTCCTACCCCAGATACCAAAGATGCATTGTTTACTGCCACTGACACCAATGGCCACAGGCCAGCCCTCAAAAAGTCTGAAGGACAGTAAACTGGCCCTTTGTTTAGAAAGTTTGGAAACCCCTGTCTTAGGGTAATTGCAGGTTTCTCATTCATAAAACGGTTTTAAAGTAGACGCCCCATCCTAAGTAGAACAGTGGACAATTAATTCTACAAAAAATAATGCAGTATTACCACTAATATTACTTTTTGTAAGAACACTAGGGTCTGCATTCATTAATTGACAATAAATTGCCCCTGAAATGTTCTATTTCTCCAATTGCTCATTAGATAAGATATGTATAAAGTGGTTTATGTTTGTTTTCCTGCACATACTTATCAATAACCATTTTCAGCAGTGTGTTGCTTTATTTATCAATATATGGTTCTAGATGGTAAGAACTGATTTTTGGCAAGGTGACCCTTGGTATGTCTCTTGCTATCCCATCTAACAGTATCTGTGCATTTATTTATTTCAGGTACTTATATAGCACCATCAATTTATTCAGCGCTTTACACATATATTGTAAATTCACATCAGTCCCTAACCCTCAAGGGGTGTACAATCTAAGGTCTCTAATTCACATTCATACATACTAGGGCCAATTTAGACAGGCTCCAATTAGCCTACCAGCATGTCTTTGAAGTGTGGGAGGAAACCAGAGTAGCCAGAGGAAACCCACACAGGCACAGGGAGAACATGTAAACCCCAGGCAGGTGGTGCTGTGGTTGGGATTCGAACCAACAACCCTAGTACTGCCAGGCAGAAGTGCTAACCATTTAGCCACTCTGCTGCTTAAACAACTCTTGTGAGCTCTTCATCGTATCCTTTCAATGTCACAGCACTCTAGCAATCTCTGGATAGCAGCTGTGAAAACTCTGTGTAAAAATGAATTTTACCTTCAAAGGCCTGATGTGCAGTGTTTGTCTTCAGTCTTCTTGTATACAATGACAACATCCATCTGTTTCTGACTGGCTGAAACTATTGTTTCTTGGGAAAGAAAAGATGAAGGCAAATTAAGTGGAAGGAGACACCAAAGTAGCAAGATGAATGACACGAGTAGATAGACAAAAAATATATAGCTACATATTGACACTATGGCTTATCTTCTACCCCATAGATGTTATTAGATAACCATAAAAATACTTGTTCTAGTGGTTAGTATCTTCGGTTTGCAAGGCGGAATAATTGCATAGTGGGTAATGATGATGATTATGATGATGTGTCCAATGTTTATATAATTTTACACACTTGTTGTTACAGTCTTGTTCCCCAAGTTTAAAGAAAGCCCCTTGCGGTTTATAGTTCACTGTTTTTAACACACACACACTCCTTGTGTAATGTTTCTTAAGTGTGATGTGTTACCAAAAGCAACCAATCAGATGTATTTTTTTTCCTTTGATTTTGCATTGGAAATCTGGAAAGAAGAACCCCCTATAATCCACAAGAAGAGTCCATATTACAGACTGTATACAAGATTTATGATCTATTTAAGACCATAGTTTTGACAAATAAAACCTGGTTGGAAATTATTTAAAATAACTGACTCAAGGAAAATGTCAGTTCTACAATTACTTCTGTATTCTCCTATTATTTTCTCTTTCTGAAAATATATATCTCGTTTCCTTTTATATTCCTGACAGGATGAAAAGAAACAGTTGATGACCACAAATGTTTGGCTGAGACAGGTAATATAATTTATGCTTCTTGACCTTTAAAGCACATACTGTATATACTACTGTTCCGCTACAGTTGGCAGATTTGGACTGGTATTATAAGATCTACATAGGAATTATTTAAAATCTTAGCTGTCTGTTATTTTGGGGAAAAAAAATAGCACTTGATTAATGATCTATATTCACCTACGAAATTATATATATATATATATATATATATACACAATGGGGAAGATAATTATTTAATCCCCTGCAGATTTTGTAAGTTTGCCCACTTTCATAGGTGTATTTTAAATGATAGAGACAGAGTATCAACCAAGAATCCAGAAAAAATACATAATACAAATGTTATAAATTGAGTTGTAGATCTGAACCCAATTGAGTATGCATTTCACTTGCTGAAGGCAAAACTAAAAGCAGAAAGACCCACAAACAAAGAGCAAATGAAGACAGCTGCAGTTAGAGCCTGGCACAGCATCAGAAAGGAGGAATCCCAGTCTTTGGTAATGTCTATGGGTTCCAGACTTCAAGCAGTCATTGCCAGTAAAGGATTCTCAACAAAATATTAAAAATTAACATTTTATTTATGATTATATTCATTTGTCCAATTACATTTGAGCCCCTGAAAATGGAGGGACTGTGTATGAAAATGGTCACAGTTCCTAAAATTTGTACTTGATATTTATGTTCAACCCCTTGAATTAAAGCTGAAAGTCTGCACTTCAAATTCATTTGGATTGTTTTGTTTAAATTTATTCTGGTGGCATACAGAGTAAAAGTATGAAAATTGTGCCTGTGTCCAAATATAATATTTACAGAAAAAAAGATGTTACAAGGAAATAAAGAGACAAAGCAACAGAGAATTAAAAAGGAGTTGAAAAAGAAAATACTTGCAAAGTCCTGGTTTTAGTAGAATTCAGTCAGCAAGCAAGGTGTTATCAGCTCTCATAACTTGACAGATGTTCCTTCGTTATTGGTACACGAGAGCTAGTCAAAAGGTCCTGACATTCCCTTTTCCTGTGGAATCAAAGGGATTTTGACAGAGACCATCTGACCAATCATCCAGTTTAACCATTAGCTGCCCGGCCTATAGCCGTTTGGCGGCGGCAAAAATGCTTCACCTTTCCGGGTGCACGCCATTTGGCATGCTCCTGCAGTTGCAGAGCCGCGCAGCGGCACGGTCTGTCACCGGCCGTGTACCTCGGACACGGCCGATGACAGACCTGAGTACCGGCCCTGTTGCTGGTACCATGTGACCTGCTGTGACCAATCACAGCAGGTCACATGACAGTTGTATACAATGGATGGCTTCATTCATGCCATCCATTGTATACTAGTGCCTAGCTGTGAATGGTCACAGCAGGTCACATGCACATGTCATGTGATTAGCTGTGGCCAAATCACAGCTAAGCACAAAAAAAAAAAAAAAAAAAACCTGAATGAATCGATTTCATTCTGGTAAATGCTTGCTTATAGTTAAGTAATTCTTTGCTATAAGCAAATTGTGTAAAAAAAAAAATAAAAAAATACTGATCACTTCTCCAAAGTAGTACAATGTTACTATGGTAACATTGTACTACTTTGGTCATAGCAAAATATGAAAAAAAAAATCTTAAAAAAAAATAAAACAAAATGTAATAAAAAATTAAAAATAATAAAAAAATATATATATATATATATTTTTTCATACTGTCACCAGTCAGTGTCCCTGTTCACCACCATGCCAGTTATATGATGACGCTGTACTGCACTGGTGACAGTATGTAAAAAAAAATAGTGAAAATAATTTTTTAATTTTCCAAAAAATTATGACATAAAAAATACAACTTCAAAAAACGCGCCATGCCTCTTATGAAATACGTCGGACTGTCTACTTTGCAAAAAGGGGTCATTTGGGGGATATCTGTACTGTTCTGACATTCTTGGACCTCAAGAAATTATATTGGCTGTCAGTACTTCAGGATTGATCAATATTCAGATCTATACCATAGTTTGTGAACTCTATAACTTTCCTACAAACTAAAAAATAAATCCTAATTTGGGTTATTTTCACCAAAGACAGTTAGCAGAATACATCTTGGCCTAAATTTATGAAGAACAATTATTTATTTACAAACTTTTATAACAGAAACAAAGAAAAAACGTGTTTTTTTTTCAAAATTTTTTTTTTTTTGTTAATTTAGCAAAAAATAAAAACCCCGGCGGTGATTAAATACCACCAAAAGAAAGCTCTAGTTGTGTGAAGAAAATTATAAAATTTTAGTTTTATACAATGTTGTATGACCGCGCAATTGTCATTCAAAGTGTGAGAGCGCTGAAATGTGAAAAATGGCCTGGGCAGGAAGGGGTAAAATTGCCCGGTATTGAAATGGTTAAGGGGTGGGTGCTGGGAGGTCACAACATTTATGACCAAGTCCCAAATACAGTTACTTATAAGTAATCATATTTTTGAATATCTACCGTTTACAGTCTGTTACCATGCATATTATTGTCCAGCATGAAATTAGCTTCAAAATGGATATACAGTATGACAGGTCTTGGGTATCTATTTCTCATAAGAGGGGTGTGGAGGCCTAATCCACTCTGGTACTTCCTAGCATAGGGGTGTTTGAGTTCAAAATGTCTATATTCTGGTTGTGCTGTCATTCTTTCAAGAGTTATGAAATATGCTGACGTTTTAGGGTCTTGGCTGTTAACCATTCTAGCGAAAATGTGGATTGGCTATTCCCATCAGCTGAGCTGTTTATGACCGGATATCATTCTCTGGATTGCTTGGAGGGTAACAGTTTTATTAGAGTTCCAGGTTGAAATTGTGGATTGGGTAATGGAGAGGTCTGGGTGTCTGATCAATGGATTGCATCACTTAACAGTTAGTGTATTGCATATTGTACACAACCATTACATTCCCATTTATATCACTGTCTGCAGGGTCTCCTCTTACAGTGCAAGGGGGTGCAAGGGGGAACTCTGCAGATCCTGATGTAAAGTGGAACACTGTGGACCCTAATGTAAAGGGGAATGCTGTAGACTGTGATGTAAAGAGGAATTCTAATTAAAGGGGGTTTCTGGTCACCAGAGCCTCCCCTCCTTATACAGGAGTCCACACAGTTCTGCCTAATTCTGCAGGATTTCCTCTTACAGTGCAAGAGAGAGGGACCCTGATATAAAGGGGAACATTGCAGACCGTGATGTAAAGATGGACTGTGATGTAAAGGGGAATTCTGCGGACAATGATGTAAGGGGTAATGCTGTGGACTCTGGTGTAAAGGGGAACTCTGATGTAAGGTGGTCTATGGCAGGGCCGTGGATAAGGGGGTACCCTCAGTCCTCCTGTACAGGGCCCAGGCCTGCAGGGGGGCCTAGGCAGCTGGGTAAATTATATTTGGGCAGGGAGGGTGATCATCCTGGTCAGTAAGGATTTCAGGAAGAAATGGCACAGCAATCCAGCAAGCAAGCATTTAGTTTTAATGTTCATGGGTTGTGTAACATTTTAAGTAACCTTCGTGCCTTACTTGCTGTATGATATAATTCAGAAAACAAAGTTTCTTTCACAGCTAAGGCCCCCCCCCCTCCCAGCCACTCCATTCCCATATGTAAGAGGAGAATCTCAGCACAATGCCTTTTTTATATATATCTTTTATTAAGTTTTTTTTTTCATTACAAAATTTGTAATAAGCATTACAAAAACAAAAAAACACAAATTTTTACACCCATTACCTATTCCCTTTACTCCCTCCCCCTATAGTTCTCCCCTACTTTTTCTTACTATCTTCTTTTACTTCTGGTTCCTCTAATACTCGTTACTCTGTAGTTCCTTCTCTCTATCTACCTCTCTTTTTACCCTCTTACAGGATCTTACTTCTTTTCAATTAAACTCTCCCAACTGTTTAGACTCCTACCGCTTCTAGAAAACTCTTTGACGCTTTAAAATCATCCCATCCACCCCATATTTTTAAAAAAAAATGTATCCTCGTCTATGTGGTATAATTCCTCCATACTCTAAATATACTCAATTATATTTATCCAATCTTTTATTTTTGGCAATTCTTGTGCTTGCCAATACTTAGGGATATGTCCTTTAGCCACATTTATTAAATTAAATAACATCATATACTTATATTGTTTCACTGAAATCTCTAATTTATGAAATAAACATGGGTCCTTCGGTATGCTAACCCCCAATATCTTCTGTATGTATTGAATTATTTCTTGCCAAAACTTCTGTATTTTAGGGCAATACCACCATATATGTGCCATTGTTCCCTTAGTTCCACACCCTGTCCAACACAAAGGTGAAACTTCTGGTTGTTGATTATGTGCCACACTAGGTGTAATATACCATTTAACTAAACATTTATAAATAATCTCTACTATATTCATATTTACCACCCCATATATTTCAAAAACTTTTTTTGTTGCTCATTCAATTTTGTTCCTAGCTCCTTTTCCCATTTTTCCAAGAAAAAGGGAAATTGGACCCTGCTATTTCCATAAGAATCTTATAAATTCCAGAGGTGACATGTTTTTGGATTGTATTTAAACTTAACATTCATTCCAATGGATAAATGTCTTCCACTGTCCTTAGAGGCTGCGGGAGCGTAGCAACAAAATGTCCTAATTAATAATAACGCCAGTCATCTAATGTGAAAATTAAATCTTCTTTACCTTTTAATTCTTGATAAGAACATAATTTTCCCTTGTCTACAATATCTTTCAACCATGCATTTCTGTCTTTTATCCATTTCCTTGAGATACATCACTCCCCGGGGGGAAAAAAACTCTGTTCCCACCAGCGGTATTAACAATGAGTTATACTTCCAACCCATTTGCTTATACAATATATCCCATACCCTCAATACATATCATGTCAAAGGGCTTGTATTTTCATCTAGTGTACGAAACTTGTGTGGAATCCAAATAATCCTATCTAGTTGTGACTTACTCAGTGTACTTTCCATTTTTACCCAACTTTTCCTCAGTGAATTATTTGCCCAATCTGCTATTCGTGACGCTAACACGGAAAAATAATATCTCTTAAAGTCGGGCAAATTTAACCCCCCTTTCCTTTTATTGTTACCCAAAACTTCATATTTAACTCTTGTTTTTTTATTAGCCCATATATACCTAAGTATCATTTTTTAAAAAAAGACCCTGGGAAATATATTGGGAGCATGTGGAACATATATAGTATTTTCTGTATTATTACCATCTTTACCATATTTATACGACCTATCCAGGACAGCAATCCATTAGACCAGGGGTGGCCAACCTGCGGCTCTCCAGCTGCTGCAGGACTACAAGTTCCATCATGCCTCTGCAAGTCAGTAACTTCCCATCTTTGCAATGCCTCATGGGAAATGTAGTTCCACAACAGCTGGAGAGCCACAGGTTAGCCACCCCTGCTTTAGACATTCTACTCAATTGTTCCTTTATCTCATTTATTAGTGGAATATAATTTACCTGATATAAATTCTTTATAGACAGGGTTAACTTAATTCCCAGGTACTTTAATTATTTTTCCCTCCATGTGAAAGGGAAATCTGTTTGTAGGTTCTGTTTCTCTGTCTTTGGTATATTAATATTTAATATCTCTGACTTAGAGAGATTAATTTTCATATTTGATAATTTTCCATAGTGTTTTAATCTTCTCATTAGGTTGGGTAATGTTAATCTGGGATTTGTGATATAAAACAGCATATCATCTGCATATGCCACAACTTTGTGTTCCATGTCACCCATCCAAATTCCCTTTATATCTACACTATTTCGTAATATCGCTAATAACAATTCTAAAGATATTACAAACAGCAGGGGAGAAAGTGGACATCCCTGCCTTGTTCCATTATACATTCTAAAAAACTGTGACAAGGACCCATTGACCTTCACCGCTGCTGATGGGCTACTATATAACTTTTTTATCGAACATAACATTTTAGGCTCAATCCCTAATGCCTCTACTGTATCTCTCATAAAACCCCAATCTACCCTATCGAAAGCTTTTTCAGCATCAATTGATAAGATCACAATCAAAAAATTATTTTTCCTTCTTTTTTGCAGGAAATGTTCTTTTTTGCAGGAAATGCTCTTAATGTTTTGCAGCAATGTTCTTAATCCATTATCCCTTCCTTCTCTGTTGAGAATGAATCCCACTTGGTCTAAGTGTATCCAGTCTGGTATCAGCTTTTTCATCCTCGTTGCTAATACTTTTGCATATAATTTTGTATCTATATTTAATAGTTAAATAGTTCTGAAGCTAGCACATTGAGACCCGTTTTTCCCCTCTTTAGGTAAGTGCCTGTAATGATTCCTCCCTCAATTCCATTCGTTCTCCTAGCGCATTCATATATATATATACACATTTTAGGGACAAGTTGTTCTTTAAATTTTTTATAATAACCCACTGTATATCCATCTGGTCCGGGGTTCCTTTCTGTAGCTGTACTCTTCAAAGCTATACTAATTTCCTCATTTGAGATCAGTTTTTCTAAGGCTATTAATCTTTTTTCTTCTAATCTTTGTAGGCCTGTCTTCCTGTAGATATAGCTGCCTTTTTTCATTTCGTTTTTTTTTCTCCCTCTGTTTCTTTCTGGTTCCTAGAATTTGCTCTATATAAACTACTATAATATTTTTGAAAAACATTAGCGATATCAGTGGTTGAATGTACCATTTCTCCTTTTTCATCTTACATTTTTTCTATAAAATTCCTCGATTTCTTTTCCCTTAATTTCCTTGAGAAATAAGCATAATGCATCTTGCACCTCTCAGATAATGTACTGTATAAGCTAATTACAACAAAACATATCAAGCAATATTGTGAACTCACAAAAATGTCTAGCTTCACTCATACCTCCTGGACCATAGGCAATGTATATGCATGCTTTGGTGACCCAGACGTGCTATATAAGATCACTCTCAATGGTTAGAAGATGGTTACACATCTAGCTGTCCTATGAAATCCCACAGTTTGTTAAACCAATATCATACATATCATTCTGTTTTCAAACAGTGAATTCTTTTTTTTTTTTCTGTGTGGGATCTGTTTTGGAATTGATAATGAGCAGCTAAGTGAAAATAAGTAAGTTAATGCTTTCTTTCTACACACACACACAATGGTGAACTCATTAATATTTATTTCATTTCTGTAATTTCCTTCCGTAGGAATGGGTGGACCTAAAGTTAAGATGGAATCCTAAGGATTATGGTGGTATTACATACATTAGAGTGCCTTCTGAGTCTTTGTGGCTTCCTGACATTGTCTTGTTTGAAAAGTAAGAATGTTTTGTTCTCTTACCAAGTGCAATACAAAAACGATTATTCTAACTTGTATGTGGTGTGTGATCTCTTTGTCTAATGTCTAAGGCACTGTTCATAGAGAACCTGGACTGATTTTTCGAGCAGTATTAAGCCCAAAACCAAAATATATTATATTGTAGCTTACCAGCTTACCAATGTGGTGGCTGCATTTGTTTTTTAGGCTTTTTTTCTTTGTTTTCAGCTGCTGATCTGCCCAGTAACACACCTCCTGAATTTAAGTGCCTCCACTCTGGATGCATGAGCATAGGGGGCACAGAAGACATCAGCATTGTCAGTTTTGGGGAGGGGAAAGCTAGATGTACTAGCAGATTTAGATACACTAAAACATTTAAGCCAAGCTCCAGCTCATACTTTATCAGCAGTTACAACAAAGAGTATTTTTTTCTTTTGGGAGAGGGAAAAGGAAGTTAAATGCTTCAATCAGCTTGGACACAATGGTATATCAAGCTTGCATGTATGCAAACAGTGGCACCGGACTGACTAGGCTAGTAATCCGTAGGGTTAGGATTTGTTTCTTTAACCTAGACTAATTAACCGGAACTGCATGCAATTTTCTTTATTATTCATTTTGTACCTTAAAGGAGAAGTATGTGATAGGCTAAATAATTCACAAATATTACCATAATCAGGAATCAGCTGTTATTCCTTTCCTCTGTCCTTTTGTTTTTTCAACAGGGGCAATTCATCTGTCATGTAGGTCTCAATAATGCTCCGTTTGTTGTTTGAAAGTTTAGAAAGGGCGGTTACAACTTCAGCAGTCCTCCCCCTCTTTCTGTCCCGTCTCCACTGGGAGATGTGGCCACACCTACTGAACAGGCAGACACCTGAACAGCAGAAGAATTCAGGCACTGTGCTATTCCTGTGCACAGTGGAAAAAACAAAAGTGTTGTAGACATGGTTGGATCTAGGGGGAGGTGTTGGGGAGGGCTATGCCCCCCATCCTTTTTGGAAGCTATGCCTGTTGGGCTCTTAACATCGCTGAACTGCTCACAACCTCAGTATAGTCAACACAGCTCCTCTCTCCCTCTTCCTCCTCCACCTGCTTCCTCCTCTCATACAACACACAGCTTAGGTCAATTCTCTTACAGACACTCTCTATCTGCACACTGTGTAGCTGGATTCTATGCTGCATAGCAGTTGTTATTTGGGAACTTTACATGTCAGAGGGGAGAGGCCAGAGCCAACATCAGTCAAACACAGGAGAAGGAAAGGAGGTGGATTCAGATGAATCGGCATATGAATCCAGAGAAGACTGTAGCCCCTCCCACAAGTATTTACCTTGATTTTAACAGAAAGGGTGCACTTCTCAGAGGGCTGAAAATATTTATATGCATTAGCAGCTCACAGGGAATAGAATGAAGCTATAAAAAGGAAATCCATACTTCTCTTTTATTCTATTTTTTTCTGCAAAGTTGGAAATAAAAGATTCATAAGTAAATAATTCACAAATAGAAAGGTAATCATAGTGTTATTATTAACTGAACAACTGATAAAATATATACTTTTATCTATAGAAACACTACAGGTTATATTTCTAAAGCAGTGAATGTGACATTCCCTAAACATTTACTTGCAGGCTAATCTTCCTGGTGTGTGTTTCAAATTACAGTGACTGATTTGCCTGCAATAAAAGTTTGATGAATATCACATTTACGACCTTATAAATACTGTATGCTCTGAGTTGTTTTAAAAACAAATACAAACCAGGTAAAAGAGCATTTTTTTGCTTTGTTAAATCTTTTGTCTATAGATTGCATAGAAAATATACTTATTTTGCAAGTCAATATTGTCAAGAGAATTCCTTGTTTGTACCAAAAAAAACAATATATGTGTTACTTTTTTATCTTATGAAATTACAAAGTAATTGCTGAATAGACCCATACTGCAAAAGTAAAAAAATGCTCTGATCCATGAGGACTTTTTCTATTGTGAAAGCTGTTAAATGGAAATAAATTGAAATTACGCTCATTATATATAAAGCTGACACACTAGTAAGTGAGTATACTTACTGTATTACAGTATATTGGAAAAAGTGACAGTCCAAAGAGATTTAAAAATACAATCACAACGCTAAAAAAAAAATCCTTATCCTTGTGTTAAAGCTTTGTGAATTAAAGTGGTTGTAAAGGCAGAAGGTTTTTTTACCTAATATAAACTAAAGGCAAAACTTTTTTTGTTGAGTTGAGATGGATTAGAACACCTGTCAAGTATTTGTTGCTGTCTGCGTGCCTGTTAGGGAGATTTACTCTCTCTATTTGTCCTGTTTACAATTATTATTGAAAGCAAAAGTAAAAAAAAATCCCAAATTTTGGGTTGTCCTCAGAAAAGTAAGAGAGGGGAAATCTTCCAATGGGGACATTGTTTCTGGAGATCTGGCGGTCCCCAAAGAATTCCCTTCATTTGCAGAGATTTTCTCTCAGGAAGTGAAGGGAAGGGAAATCTCTAGGATGGCGAGAAAAAAATCTGACAGGGGCTCTATCCAAAATAAAAAAAAATGTTTTAGCTATAGTTCTACTTTACGAGAAAAAAAACCTTCTGTGATTAGCTCATTGGCTACTAATGCTGTCAATCACAGCTTGTGAGGAGACAGAGGGCAGCAGGATCTACCTAAACTGCGTGTGCCAAGATGGAGCCCGCACAAGTGCCCCCATTGTAAGCGGCTTTCTATGGGGGCTCTCAAAGGAGCCAGGAGCTCTGGCAGAGGACCCCAGAAAGAGGAGGATTAGAGCTGCTCTGTGCAAAATCATTGCACAGACCAGGTAAGTATGATATGTTTGTTATTTAAAAAAAATACCTTTACAATCGCTTTAAGCCTTAAAAAGTATGTAAAAGATGTGGGAATATCACCGAACATGTACAGTCAGTTAGATATGCATGTCACTTGAAAAAGCGATTTTCCAGTCACTTACTAAACATTTGTAGGTAGGTATCACAGAGTAGTAAATTTAGCCCTTTTTCACCTTCCTGAATTCAGAAAATAGTAATATGTGTTATTGTTGCAGAGCTACATCATTCTCAAGTTAGTTCTCTGCAGAATCTATTTTAAAGTCTACCCATTTAGAAAATTAACAAAACATTTCGCTTGATTAAGGCGCCCAAAATATAGCATACAACTGGAGTCTGTTAGTTTACTATCTTTAAAATGAATCTAAACATGGTCACATATAAAGTCGTTTAGAATCGGCTGATGTTTTTAAATCTTTCTTACAGTGCAGATGGACGTTTTGAAGGCTCTTTGATGACAAAAGCAATAATAAAATATGATGGAACAGTGATATGGACTCCTCCAGCCAGTTATAAAAGTTCCTGCACTATGGATGTCACATTTTTTTTTCCTTTTGATCGCCAAAACTGTTCAATGAAATTTGGATCATGGACTTATGATGGCAATATGGTTGACCTCATTCTTCTTGATGCAAATGTAGATAGGAAGGACTTCTTTGATAATGGAGAATGGGACATTTTAAATGCCACAGGTCTGAAAGGAATGAGGAAAGATGGGCTGTATTCATATCCATTCATTACATATTCTTTTGTTTTGAGACGACTTCCCCTATTTTACACTCTTTTTCTTATAGTCCCTTGTCTGGGACTATCCTTCTTAACCGTTCTTGTTTTCTATCTGCCTTCTGATGAAGGGGAGAAATTGTCATTGTCAACTTCTGTACTAGTCTCTCTTACAGTGTTCCTTCTTGTCATCGAAGAAATCATTCCCTCCTCTTCAAAGGTAATTCCCTTGATTGGAGAATATCTTTTATTCATTATGATATTTGTTACATTGTCAATAATAGTGACTGTATTTGTCATTAATGTCCACCACCGTTCCTCAGCAACATATCATCCAATGGCTCCCTGGGTGAAGGGCCTTTTCTTACAGAAACTTCCAAAGTTGTTGTGTATGAAGGGACATGTTGATCGATTTTCCTTCCTAGACTCTGAAAATACTGGACAGCCAACAAAATCAAAGCCATCTGGAAAAAGAAAACATATACAAGCTAATGATGGAGAAAGGGTTCTAATTGCTTTTCTGGAAAAGGCATCAGACTCTATAAAATATATTTCGACACATGTCAAAAAAGAACACTTCATTAGACAAGTAAGTATGATTATACTTTGCTTCCTTTGAGCTATACATAGAACCACATGGTGCTGGTGTTTGATTTTAGTGGTATAGCTGAGCAACAGTTAACAACATGAGGTGGTTATTACCAGTACATTAGGTAATAAAGAGCAGCTCCCGTTGGTTGTGCATGGGCTGTCAAGATGTTCTGTGCAGTGTTGCCTCTATCCACACAAGAAGTGAACCTGTATGTGAGTGGGAATACAGTTCATGGTCTTCTGAGCGATATAGGAAAATCAAATGGTTTTTGGTCTTGTGATGGATTGGTTACCAGGAATATTCTTAGCCTCTTTTAAGGAGTCCCTGCTGCCAGACTGTTCATTTAAAAACACATTTCCCATTAGGTTATATTTGCATTGAATGTATTTTAGGCATATTCTTTACCTGTAAAAACCTACTTTGTTTAGACATACAAAAGCTCTGGGACTGCTGCTGTGTACCACCATCTTGAATATAATGGCAGCAGCCCCAGAAGACTCAGAGTTGCCACTCAAGTGACACTTTAACCCCCCTGGTGGTATTCCCGAGTGTAGCTCGTGGTTAACTTTCAGTACCAGAAGCGGTAACCCCGAGCTACACTCGGGATTACCCTACAGCGCTGCTTAGGTATTCCCTCTTGCAAGTACCTTGTCCTGCGCTCCCACGATGTCCCCCCTGCAGCATCCCCGGCCATCTCCTCTGGCCGATGCCAGCATCCTTCTTCCGGGTTCCATTCCCTGCAAGCGTCGAGACGTACGGGGGATGGAATCGGCGGGAAAGTAAAACATTTTAAAAGTGATATTCACTCAATACACTAAAATCACATAGTATAACATTACTGTATCAAACCATTTCACATACATTTTGTCCCGAGTGCTTTGCCCTGTGCCCTGCCTGCATTTTTACTGTTCTTTCTGCCTGGAAACTGAGAAAAGTCCATGGCGTCCAAAAAGTGTCCCTTTAGGTCAAAAGCGGTTTTAGATCAGCTAGAGAACAGCGATAGTAAATTAGAACCACTTGCAGAATTGAGTGATAATGATTTGTGGGGAAATTCATCAGACACTGAAAATGATTTTGCGACTTTGCTCAGTGATGTGCGAACTTGGCGCTATATTTCAAATTTCAGTGTTTTGGTTTGATTACATTATTGAATTAAATTTATTATTATATTATTTTTTATGATTATTTATTATATTATAATTTATGATTTCGTGTTTCAAATTTTATCATACCCGGGATGTTTACTAGATTCTTGTTCGAACAGATTTCAGTGAGTTATTTCTAAGAATTACAGTGCTACAATAAAATCCATGCAAAAAAATGTACCGCTTTCAGCACAGAAATACTGACATAATCAGACTGCTAGGGAGGTAAAAGTATTCCCCTTCACTCTAACCTTATGCATGAAGGGGAGGCGGAAAGCACAGAGAGTAATTGAACACTTCCAAAAAAAGGCTATGCCATGCAAGTAGGGAGGAGGCTATGGAAAGGGCTCTTGAAAAAATCTGATTTGCTAGCAGGTTCCATACCAGCTTGCAATGGGAGGGTTTCAGTAGCAAAGCCAATTCTGCCAATCCTGCAGGATAGGTGCGATCAGCTGCTGCTTGACAAGCTACAGACTTGTGAATCAGCATTAACATTACTGATATCCATGACACCACAACATTTCTCATCCCACTGTAGTGCAAGCAGCCACAGATTACATAAGGGACAATGCTACTTTGAGTTCAGTAGCAGTGCAGCAATGTTGTCCCCATCACAGAAAGCTGAATGAGATATACTTCACTGGCAGGATCAACAGGTATTTGTGGGACTTTGCAGGGAGTTAATGGAAAATGGTAAGTGTAGATAAACTTACAACTACGTGCTGCAGCCCATATTGTTTTCAGTGCAACTATAGATCTACTTTAATGCTTCCCCCGATTCATCTTAAAGTACAAAATTAGTTTTGTACTTAGATATACTTTAAGTCTTATACATATGAAGCATTTATTCAGACATTTCCTCTTATCTTCCAAAATGTTTCTTTTTAACCTTCTTAACCTACCACTTTTTCTACACTAGGGCATGCTGAGACCAAGCTATGAAATGATCAAAATTAAAAACATATGAAAAAATATAACAAGGCTTATATATTGATTATATACTGTATGTATGCTACACATATGAGGAAAAGAAAAGTAATATGATTGCGAAAGTTGTCCTCTAAAAGCTGTAACATATCATTGGTATTTATGGTGCTAACACTCTGGTTTAGTGGTTTGATCTCCTTATGTGTAGATGAAATACAGGACAAGCTATTAGCAGAAATGGGTAAAAAATGTTAAACAGAAAAATCCACACAAAAAAACAAAATATGTGAGACACACCTATAGGAAACTATCACTAATATTACATTTTTTAACTCTAGGTTGTACAAGATTGGAAATTCGTAGCTCAGGTTCTCGATCGTATCTTCCTCTGGCTCTTCCTTTCCGTCTCCATTACTGGCTCAGTTCTTATCTTCACCCCTGCATTAAGGATGTGGTTAAACAGCACCAATGTCTAATTATCCAGCACACAATATTGGAGAGAATTATTCTTCAATCATTCTCAATCAGATCACCAATAACACCGTCATTTTGTATTCATATACATTTGGGTATATGTTCTGTTGCAGTCAGTCCTATATTATTTATTGTAGACCGGTTATTAAATAAGTGTCTCAGTGCAACACTTTGGTTATGGAACATTTTGCCACCACAAATGAAACTTTAGGTGGACCCAAAGTCTAGAAATAAACAATTTATTGTTCCACCCTTGACAGGTCCATTTCAACTCAGTCTATGCGGAGTGGACATGGACAAACTCTGCTGTGCTTTATGGGTGGCTGGGAGTAAATGGACACCACTGTCTGTTTACACCTGGGTGCCTCCTATCTGGTCTGCCCAAATGGAAGAGGACACAGTCCTCCTCCACTTTTTTAGAGAGCCTGTTCGAACCTGGAGGTAGGCGGCTGTAAACGGACACAAGTCAGTTTAAACCCGCTGGCCAATAGGAATCCATGGACCATCCAATCAGGTCCGCCTGAAAAACTGAAAGGTGAACCTAATCGGATCACCCACGTGAAAAGGCACCTAAGTGAGACACGACTCTGAATGAATGAGCACAGGAGGCACAGCAGAAAGCAGCATTATCAGTCTTGGGGGGATGGTAGTGTTAAATGTATTAGCAGATTTATTTACACTAACAAATGAAAGCCAAACTGCAGCTCACACTTTATAATCAGTCACAGTTTTGTTCCTTTTGCGATAAATGTTTTACATGAATAAATAAAAGCTGATCATATTAATCACCCTTGCCAGTGTTAGATGGTCTTTCTTATCCATGAAAACTGATACATTATGTTTACACAACAAACTTGCTGGCTGGATCACCAGATGAAACTAGAAGAAAGAAAGCCTAAAAAAAGAAAACTAATGCAGCCATCACTTCTAAGAAACGGTAAGCTGCAATATAATAAACGTTTGCTTTTGGGTTTAATACCGCTCTAATGTTATGTTGTTTTGTCCCCTAATCTGTACAGAACTCTTCCCTATTTCCACAGGAAACGGTCTTTCATAAAACTCTGCTTTTCCAGCTGTTTTGCACTGATGAAATGCATGCACAATCCAGCACAATATTGTCAATAATTATGAATAAAGCAGCAGACAGGCATATTCTTGGCACTGTGATTGGATTGGAGTGATGCATCTCTGTACACATGCATCTGCTGGTCTCATTTTCATATGTATAGTATTTGTTAAGGAAAGGACCTTTTTCAGGTTGCATAAAATTAAATACATAATTTATGGATAACAGATAACAGTGGAGGTCTGCCACATCCTATGTTGCCCACCGTCTACATTCTGGGGGTAGACAACTGGCAAGCAGACTACCGAAGTAGACACATTCTTAATCCAGGTGAGTGGTCTTACACCTGGAGGTATTCCTTCAGATTTTGTGCAGATGGGGAGCACTGGGTGTGGATCTCCTAGCATCTTGTCTCAACTGCAAAGATTTGTGTGCAGGATGAAGGATCCATGGGTGGATGTGGGGACAGATGTTCTGGTGGCACTGTGGGAGAAGTACAATCTTATCTATGTCTTTCCACCCCTCATCTATAGATTTTGAGTCAGAAGCCAAAGGGATTCTTGTTCATCCTTGTGGGTCTGGATTGGCCTGGTTGTCCTTGGTATGTGGTTCTTCTGGGTTCAAACTCTCTTTGGCAACTTTCTTTTTGGTTAGACCTACTGTCCCAGGGCCCGGTATTCCATCCTCTTTTACCATTTAACCACATTAACATTTGCATATTGAAAGTTATTTACTGTCAGCCTCGGTAAACCACTCCATGTTTGAAGTGCCACTAAAACTTGCTTTTTCCTTTTTACTCTAATGCTGGTGAGATTTGCTTTATGTGATGCCTCATCTTCTTTCTTCAACTTGATTGATGTAGTCCCCTCAACCCTTGTGCTGTTGTCCACTGCTTCATTGTCTCATTCTTCAAGTTTCCCATGGTACCATCCTTGTGTGTGTGCTCCTGGCATGCATCCCTTCCCTCATATTGCCTAGAGCTGCAAGCCACTCCTCGCCACTCCTATTTCCTCCAGTGCTCATGCCTCTCCTGTCCTCACTGTGTAATCAGTGTGCACTCTTCCCTACTTTGATGTTCAGGGAACTGGTGCTCTGCAGCAGGAGCGAATGGCAGGGACAGGGGAGTGAAAGTATTTGGCCACACTGGGACATCTACATCTATTTGGGGTATAGTACCCTGCTTTGCAGCAGTGATTTAACAAAGGAAAAAGCCGAGGGTTTAGTACTACTTTGAAGCTGTAATGTCTACTTTCCAAAATATTTATCATCATACATGACATAAAAAGCCTACAGCTCATGCTGTGAATCCCTATGGGTTCATCCTCACTCCTCAGGGCTCATGTACACGGGGCGTTTGGAAAACTCTTCTGAACGATGGAAACTGACTGCAGGAAAACATAGGTTAAAAAATGTCAGTTTAGCCGTGTTTGCATACTTCGTTTATGCACGTTTAGAAGCATTTTTAAAAGATAACCTCAGGAGACCCTCCCAAATGCCAAGAATGCACTGAAAAATAGTAAAAAAAAATTAACTATTTCAGACATTTTGATAGTGATAGAGAGAACAGAAGCAGAAGTATGTGTTGAGATGACCTGTCTTTTCTGGTTGTATTCACTATGGATCCCATCATGAGCATAATGCAGGACATTCTACAATTTTTTCCTTCACGTGAAACCTGGAAATGTATTATTTATTTCAGGTACTTCTATAGCACCGTCCATTTACACAGCACCTCAAGGGGCGTACAATACACATACTAGGGACAATTTAGACAGGAGCCAATTAACCTACCAGCATGTCTTTGGAGTGTAGGAGGAAAGCGGAGTAAGCCCACACAGGCACAGGGAGAACATGCAAACTCCAGGCAGGTGATGCCATGGTTGGGATTCGAACCAACGACCCTAGTACTGCCAAGCGGATGTGCTAACCATTTAGCCACTGTGCTGCCCACTGTGACTGCTCTAGTGTACTAGGTCTATTTGAATACATGGAAAAAACGCTTTTCATACATTTCTGATGATGAAAAAGGCTCTGGACAACATCTGGACATGGAACAGTTAAAAAATTCTTCTAAACGCAAAAGCTTATAAATGTGGTTAACTGCGTTTACAAGCGTTTGGTGTTTGAAACGCCGGTAAAATCTACTACTGAGCAACTCCTGAACGTCAGCTTAGGAGCTGCAATGTACATGAGCCCTCAGCCATGAGAATTTTGTTTTTTCTTCAACAGGGAGTAGACCAAAAACTAGCTTTGAGTACTATCAACGGTCCTGCTTCAAAATTGTCTTCTTTCAACTGTTAGCTCGTACTCCAGTTACAATGTTCATCTAGAGGGTTATGCATGTGACTCCTCCATGAAAATAAAAATATAGAAGTACAGTATCTGTGCTAGAAAAACTTTATTATGGAAAACAGCTGTTAGCAAGTTCTAATGCTATAATATGCAAGGCGGCAGCGGTAGTATATGCAGTATTGCATATTTTATACAGCTCCTCTGGTTAGACCTCCCATGTTTCTGTGGCACCTGAACTTAGTGCTTTCTATTTTACAGAAATCACCTTCTGAAAATATTCAGGATATCCCGTTGCTATGTTTTTTTTTTTGTCTGAGACTTTCTACCTTGCTAAAAGGTGGTGCCAGCCTTTCATCCTAATGAAGATATTATCCTCCCCTTTTGCTATCCTCATCTGGTACAATCAAAAGAATTAGTTCTCTATTGCCAGGCTGTAGGAGTTTAACTTTCTGCTGCAAACTCATGTCATAAAACAGATTCTTTTCCCATGGTCACATCAGGCAATCGCCTTCGCTGATATACAATTAAACTATTGTTCAGGCTTATGCAGTCAAGCATCAGTTGTCACCTTTCTAGTCATGGCCCACTTCACCAAAGCAGTTATTCCTTTTTAGGATTTTCATAATTATTATACAGTATTTATAAAGCGCCAATAGTTCGCTCAGCGCTGTACATTACAAAGGGAACAGAACATGTGACAGAACAATACCAATACAATGCAAAACATGAGGGGTTCAAGGGTCCTGCTCTTTCAAGCTTACAATCTAGGAGGGAGGGGATGGTGGCACAGGAGGAGATAGCTGTGGGGGATGGAGTGGTAGGAAGAGTGGAGGAGGTCGGCAAGTTAGCAGGGGGTGGGGTAGGCTTCCCTGAAGAGATGGGTTTTCAGGGTGCGCCTAAAGGAGAGGAGAGTAGGTGATAATCTGATGGGTTGGGGCAGGGAGTTCCAGAGGATGGGTGACACCCTGGAGAAGTCCTGGAGGCGGGCATGAGAGGAGGAGACCAGGGAACTAGAGAGAAGGAGGTCTTGAGAGGAGCGGAGTATGCGTGCTGGGCGGTACTTGGATATTAGGTCAGTGATGTAGTTCGGGGCAGTATGGTGGACAGCTTTGTACGTCAGTGTTAGGATTTTGAATATGATTCGTTGCACAATCGGAAGCCAGTGCAGGGATTGGCAGAGGGGTGTGGCGGAGACGGAGCGGTTGGAAAGGTGAATGAGTCTGGCAGCCGTGTTCAGGATCGACTGAAGCGGGGATAATAATCAGGCATCTGTTTTCCAGGTTTTCAAGGGTATCACCTGGTCATCAGTTCACACTTTACAAAATTAATGTTGTTGCATCTTTGGATGATTTTGGTCATAAAGCCTTGCGGGGGGGGGGGGGGGGGGGTAGTAACCAGAGGATGGAGTGTTTGGCACTCAAATATGGGGATCTGATTCATAGCATATTAACGTATATTAACCTCCCTGGAGGTATTCCCGAGTGTAGCTCAGGGTAAAGTTTCAGCACCACAAGCGGTAACCCCGAGCTACACTCAGGAATACCATGCAGCGTTGCTCCGGGATCTTTTCTTTACTCACCTTGTCCTTCGCTCCCGCGATGTCCCTCCTGCAGTGTCCCCGGCAACGTCCTCCGGCCGATGCCG